TACTTCTGTCCTTTTATTATATTTTCTCCTATTTTCATTTTACTATTATGAATTGTGGGAAGGTCTTGTAAGATCACTGCTACTCAGGGGCTGAAACTCTCGTGATGCAGGAGAAATATCTCTGTGGTCATCACTTGTTTTTAACTTCTTTTTCAACTTACAATATATATTTAGAATGTTAGGTCACTGCAAGCAGAAGCTACTTTCTCACAGAAAAAGATCCTTAGATTTACAAAAAACAAACAAACAAAAAAGTAACAATAAAACTTACTTAATTTATTAAAAAAATAGAAAGAAAAAAATACTACCAATCCAGTGCCCACTGAAACTTTTTGCACTGGTGCTTCTTCACATCTTCACTTGACAACTGATTTCCATTTACAAGTAATTTCTTCCATTCCCTTTCCCTCATTTTTGCCATTAATGAACTTCTCTACACAAGCAGTAATGTTTAGACTTATAGCTCTTTAATGTTTTTGTGGTTTTGTTGGGCTTTCTGCATTTCAATTTCACATTAAGAAGGCTTTCACTAAATCATTATTTCTTCTAAACAGACCCGCCTGATTAAAGCAACAACAGACACTGTCACACACAAAATACACAAACATACACTTAATAGCTGCTCATGGTGGACAAAGAGTCTTTGCATGAAAATAAACAGTACTGTGCAAAATCTTGAGCCTCCGTTCATTTCTTCATCTTTTGCCTTCAAAGAGTTACACTTTCTTCTAACTTTGCAGGCTCGAGGAATATTTTTATGGACTTTCTGAAGGTCTTTCAAAGTTTTCCTTTGGACATAGGCTACTTTTTTGAACACAGCCAGTTGAGGTGTTTCGGGCATCTGACAAGGATGTCTCCTGGACTCCTCCCAGGTGAGGTATTTTGGGGATGTCCTACCTAGAGGAGGCCCCAGGACAGACCAAGGACTTGCTGGAGCGATTACATGTCTTGGGTGAATTGTAAATGAATCAGCGTCCACCTGGAAGAGCTGGAAGAAGTGGCCAGGGTGAAGAAAGTGCTTCTCTAAATCTGGATAAGCAGTAGAAAATGGGTGTATGGATGGGCTATTTTTTTTGTTCTCATTTCTTTAGTTAGACCTACAAAAACAATAAAGACACAGACACAACAACACAGTTTGAGAGGAATAAAATAGCATTCTTGCTGCAATCATTTGATTCCCAAAGAGGCATTGGCTGAAAGCTTGACACATTTCAGCATGGTGTGCAGTGTGTCCATAAAATATTGGAAAAACTGAATAAACTCAGGATAAAAGAAAAGATAGCAGGCACAGAAAAAACTATCTACAGCAGATGAAAAGTATCTGAAAGTAATTTCCATGATAAGTTGGGGAAAAACACAGCAAAGACCTCACACAGGACCAGAGAGATGCTTCAGGCCTTTTAGTTGATCCATCTGTGCCCCATCAGAAATGGGCTCAGTGGAAGGGCAGCTGTCAAGAAGCCATTTTTAAGGAAGGGAAATAAGGAGGCTGATGCCAAAATACACAAGAACTGGACTGAAAATTAGTGGCAATAGTTTTGACAATAGATCCCAAACATACTGTCAATGCAGCAAAAGCACACCTAGATAGAAAAACACAATGGAACATTATCAATCATGGATTGGCCTTCCCAGAGCTCAGACCTCAACATTACTGATGCAGTCTGAGATCGTGCTGACAAATATGGAACAAAAGGCAGTCAACATTTAATGTCCTTCAAGAAGCCTGGAGAACTGTTCCTGAAGACAACTTAAAGAAATTACAAGCAAGCTTGGCAAAGACAGTTCTGGCTGTGCTGAGGAATAAAGGTGACTGACTTTCAAGCTTATTAGAATTAAATTGTTTGTTTCACTTTTCCTCAGCTTATCTGGAAAATCTAGGACAATTCTCAAACTTGTATTTGGTCCCTCGAATGGCCACTGTACTGAAAATCATAGCACTGATCTCTTTTTCCCTTACAGTTCTGTCTCTGCTCCCATTTGCTTTACATTCCTACCTCTCAGATCCCTCCAGATGTTTCCACCCCATCTACATTCTGTCCTTCATCGGTCTACATATGCTCGTTTACTCACCTCACCCACAAGTAACAATGAGGTCATGAGTTTCTTAGATCTCCACCGAGCAAAACTGAACTGGTAGAGCAGCTGCTGCCCAATTTTGCTCATTTTAGACAATCAATGAAAATAACACTGAAGGAACACAATGCTTGCAAGAGATTACCCCCCACACACACGTGCACACACACACACACACACACACATACATGCTCCTGTCCTGCTAATTGTTGGCAATTAGTCTGCAAGTCTGGGATTACATGTCTTATTAAATACAGAATTTCAAATGAGCTTCGTTAAATAAGAAAGTACTCCCATTTTAATGAAGCTAATTTATATGGAAATTACACATAATACTGACGATTCAGTGACAGATTTAACGTCATTGGGTGAAGGGAAGGAAATAAAAAAAAAAGAGGGGGATAGTGATTTTTATTCCTCGTCTTAGCTGGACCTTACAGCTGGACTCTTTCCGCAAGTCTGCTTTTAAAGCACAACCTCAGAAAGTTCAGGTCATGTATTTGTGCTGGAGATACAGCCATCAGTGTGCGTATGTGCATGATGGAGAGCATGTGAGTGAACTCCTGTCCTTGTGCTGACCCTGCAGAGCTCCAGCACTACCTCTCTGGTTCCCACTGATCCATCATGCTGTCTGATTGTCCAGAGAAAACCCATTAGTCTGACACAACACAACACATTAGCAGTGAGCTGCAGGTGTCTCTTTCCCGTTTCGTGCTCATTCTTTACCAACCATGGATGTCAATATTAATTGACCGTGTAGTGGTGGACATGCAAAACATGAGCTGATGTTTGGATAAACAAATGTGCGATCTGCGGTTTGATTCATTTCATTTCCCATCAAAGTCTTACTTAAAATGGTTTGTAGTACATATTGTGTGAGAAGCCTGTGTCTGTCCTTCTTATTCTTACTGGTGATTTATTAATGCAGGTCTGTGTGCAGCCACATCCCAGCAGACCGTTCCTGTCCCTCAGGCTAAAAGCTCAGCATTGCCCCCTTGTGGTAATTAGCCAAGGAGTACGATTTGGTCAATATTTCCTCATATCTCCTGACACCGTCCCCAACGGATAGTGTGAATTAAAAAGGTTTAATTTTAAACAGGCCCACAAATATATCCTTAAGTGCAATAGGTGGAAAGATGTAATGAGCAGGAGGTGAGATAATGAAAGCGCACTATCATTGCTCTATGAAGGACATTTTCTTTGCTGTTTCACCTCTGATAAGGATAATTATCTGTAGGGCTCATAATTTATAGGGCACTTTAAAATGGCAGTATAGTTTGCATGTCTTTTTCATAAGGTTTCCATGGAGACAGGTCTGCTATTTAACCTGCAGGCGGGATGTTAAAAAAAAAAGTGTTTTTTTTTTGTTTTTTGTTTTTTAAACAGGAGCTTTATTGAAATCATGAAATTAAAAAAAAAAAAAGTGGCAAGAAAAATGATCAGAACTCACAAGAATTTGCATAAATATATACCAAAGCTGATAACATATTTTAAAGGAAAAAAAAAATATTGCAACATCTATAAATAAGCAGCAAAAGAAAAACAAATAAGGACAATGCAAAATGAGTAAAATACAATAAACATCGTGTGGCTTTTCTTTGTAGGTTTTTTCCCATTTTCTTTCTTTTTTTTTTTCCCCTTTTAAAAGCAATTTCATGTTCAAATGCATTAATGATGGTTGCCACCTAGAGGCTATTCATACAGCTTTACATTGTAGTCTTGATTTTCAAGAATGGCAAAATGCACAGATTTTTAACTCCAATTTATAATTCACCAAATATAGTCAATGCAGAAACAGCCTTAAGTGAGCAGTGTTATGGTCCATAATTCATTTTTTGCACAATGATGCAAAAAAATAAATAAATTTAAAAAAAAAAAAAAAAAAAAAAAAAGAAAAAAAAAAAAAAAAAAAAAAAAAAAAAGGAAGAAGAAAAAAAAAAAAAAAAAGCTTATTTCCGTGGGATTATACAAGCTATTGTGTCTCAAAGCGAAGGAGCCTTCAACCACGGTGTGGCTCATGATTCAGGGCCTGATTGTTGCACAGTGAGACATCTGATGAGCAAGAAAAGGCCACAGATGCTTTCACTCTGCACTGCTAGCTTTAAAAACAGGCCTCTTACCTGTCAGAATGACACAAACAAAATGGAAAAAAGAAAAAAATCCTAACGTGTGGATGACATTATGACAGTGTTAAATATGCATGTTGTGAAAGCTGCAATGGATTTCTGCAGCGTAGTGTTATACAACCGAGTTCACTTTGCTCTAGTAAGGCCATGAAGTTATATAAACCATTAGGCTAAGTAAAATTTACACTCATATCACTATGTATACCCACACTAACAGTTCAGCAAACAGTTCTTTAGTATATAAAAACAAACAAAAACAATTCATAACATAGATGCAAATCAAATATTTACGTGTGTACTGAACAGTGAATTTCAACAGTTTCCCTCTATAAAAATAGCTTAAAAATCTGATACATACATTAGTACAGTGTAGGGTTAAGTCAGTTTTTTTTTTTTTTGTATCTTTTACATCTGAGACAGTTTAATAACAGGCTGGTACATAAGTCCTCCGCTCTTCCTTCCCTCCTTTGACACTGCTATACACAGACTACAGGCTTTAAAAGACAGCCCAAGTCCCACTAAGGAGCGCTAAAGGGAGTGCGAAATGAATGGCATCTTCACCTCCTCCCTGCTCTAGACTAAGACTCCAGACTCCAGCTGTGTGCAGACAGTCTTTTCTGTACAGAGCTTCGCATGCACAGTGGTTTAGTAGTAGAGCAGGACTTGGTCCGTGAGAGGAAAGAGTTTGACCGGCAATACAATACATGTGCTCCGTAGCAATGTCAGGATCACTGAAAAGGTGAAGAAAGGAGGACAAAAAAAAAAAAAAAAA